GTAATGTGTAATTTTTAGGAATAATTTTGTAAGGACAAACAAAAAAATAAGAAATAGTGAAATTCAGCAAATATTTCTCCAAGGACGAAACGTATATTTTTAAGTGAATTTTGAAAAAAAGTTTCTCAAGGATCAAACGTGGATTTCTCAAAGATATTTTTTCAGGGATCAAACGTGGATTTCTCAAAGATATTTTTTCAGGGATTAAACGTGGATTTCTCAAAGATATTTTTTCAGGGATCAAACGTGGATTTCTCAAAGATATTTTTTCAGGGATCAAACGTGGATTTTTTAAGGATATTTTTTCAGGGATCAAACGTGGATTTTTTAAGGATATTTTCTCAAGGATCAAATGTGGATTTTTCAAGGATCAAGTGTGAATTTATTAAAGATATTTTCTCAAGGATCAAATGTAGATTTTTCAAGGATCAAATGAGAATTTATTAACAATATTTTCTAAAGGATCAAACGTGGATTTTTCAAGGATCAAACGTGGATTTTTTAAGGATGTTTTTTCAAGGATCGAATGTTAATTTTTCAAAGATATTTTTTCAAGGATCAAACGAGGATTTTTCAATGATGTTTTCACAAGGATTAAACGTGGATTTTTCAAGGATTAAACGTGGATTTTTCAAGAATATTTTCTCAAGGATCCAACGTGAATTTTTCAAGGATCAAACGTGAATTTTTCAAGGATCAAACGTGAATTTTTCAAGGATATTTTTTCAAGGATCAAACGTGGATTTTTAAAGGGTATTTTTTAAGGATCAAAAGTGGATTTTTAAAGGTTTTTTTTAAGGATCAAAAGTGGATGTTTCAAGGACCAAACGTGAATTTTTAAAAAATATTTTGTCATGGATCAAACGTGGATTTTTAAAGAATATATTTTCAAGGATCAAACTTGGATTTTTAAACGATATTTCTTCAAGGACCAAACGTAGATTTCTACAGGCTATGTTTTCATGGACAAATCTTAGATTTTTAAGAATGTTTTTTTTTTCAAAGACCAAATGTGGATTTTTGATGGATATTTTTTCAAGGACTAAACATTGATTTTTAAAGGGTATTCTTTCAACGACAGACATGGATTTTTGAGGAACGTTTTTTAAGGACAGAACGTGGATTTTTAATAGGTATGTTTTTAAGGACCACTCATTCTTTTTAAAGGATATTTATTCAAGGACCAAATTGCTTGTTTAAAGGATATTTTTTCAAGAACCAAACGTAAATTTTTAAAGGGTATGTTTTCAAGGACAAAACGTAGATTCTTAAGAATATGGTTTCAAACACCAAATGTGTATTTTTAAAGGATATTTTTTCAAGGATATTTTTCAATACTTTTTCAAAGACCAAATGTGGATTTTTAAAGGATATTTTTCAATATTTTTCCAAATACCAAATGTGGATTTTAAAAGGATATTGTTTCCAGGACCAAACATTGATTTTTAAAGGTTATTCTTTCAAGGATTTTTAATGATATTTTTTCAAGGACTAAACGTGGTTTTTTAGAGGTCGATTTTCAAGGACTAAACGCACATTTTTAAAGGTCGATTTTTTGAGGACTAAACGCGGACCTCTAAACGACGATTTTTCAAGGATCTGACTTGGATTTTAAGCTGTTATTTTATCAAGGACCAAACATTGTTTTCGAAAGATATTTTTTCAAGGACTAAGTCTGAATTTTTAAGAACCATACGTGAATTTTTTGCGATATTTTTTCAAGAATCAAACATAGATTTTAAGACATATATTTTTGAGGACCAAACCAGGGTTTTTGAAGGATATTTCTTGTAACACCAAACTTTGATTTTTAGAGCAATTTTTTGTGAAAAAACGTGGATTTTTAAGGGGTCAAAGGAGGATTTTTGAAGGATCAAACGAAAATTTTTAAGGGACCAACAGTGGATTTTTGAATGACATTTTTTCAAAGGGCCAAACGTTAATTTTTAGGCCAAACGTGGATTCTCGAAGGATTCTTTTAAAGGACCAAACGAAAATAATAAAGGATAAGGATATTTTTTCAAAGGACCAAATGGGAATTTTTAGACCAAGCGTAGATTCTCGAAGGATATATTTCAAGAACCAGACGTGGATTTTTAAAGGATATTTTTCAAAGACCAACAGTGGATTATTGTGAATATTTTTAAATACCAAGTGCGTTTGGATTCAAGAATATTTTCTCATTAGATATTTTAGGATTTCTGGATTTTTGGGAATTTTATCTCAAGGACCAAATTAGAATTTTTAAATAATTATATTTTCTTGATCAAAATACAAATAAACTTGAATTTTTAAGAAATACTTTTCAAGGACAAATGGTGGTATTTAAGGAAAATTTTTTCAAGGACTGAACATGGATTTTTTCAGGATATATCGTAGACTTTTAGGGCTTTTATTTAAGAACTTGTTCTTGGCGACGACATTGATTTCTTAAAAAACAGTTTTCAAGGACTAAAGTGGATTTAAAGAAAATAATGTTTTTAAGGAAGAAACGTGGATTTAAAGAAAAAAATGTTTTCAAGGACCAAACGTTGATGTTTAAAGGATTTATGTTTTCAAGGACCAAACTAGGATTTCCTTAAAGATAAATGTAAAGAAATACAATTGGATTTCTTAAAAAATAGTTTTCAAGGACCAAAAATGGATTTTTAAAAAAGATAGTTCTCAAGGACCAAATGTGGATTTCTTAAAAAAGTGTTTTCAAGGACCAAACGTGGATTCCTTAAAGAACTGTTTCCAAGGACCAAACGTGGATTTCATAAAAAAAAGTTCCCAAGGACCAAACGTGGATTTCTTAAAAAAATAGTTTTCAAGGACCAAACGTAGATTTCTTAAAGAATTGTTTCCAAGGACTAAACGTGGATTTCTTCAAAAATAGTTTCAAGGACTAGACGTGGATTTCTTAAAACATAGTTTCAAGGACTAAACGTGGATTTTCATGGCAAATTTTTTCAAAGGACCAAACTTGGATTTTTATGGCATATTTTTTCAAAGGACTAAACGTGGATTTTTATGGCATATTTTTTCGAAGGACCAAGCGTGGATTTTATGACATATTTTTTCAAAGGACCAAACGTAAATTTTTAGCGCATATTTTTTCAAAGGACTAAACGTGGATTTTTGTGGCATATTTTTTCGAAGGACCAAGCGTGGATTTTATGACATATTTTTTCAAAGGACCAAACGTGGATTTTTAAAGGATATTGTTTCAAAAGGACCAAACGTGGATTTTTAAAGGATGTTTTGTGGATTTTTAAAGGATATTTTTTCAAAGGACCAAATGTGGATTTTTGAAGGATATTTTTTCAAAGGACCAAATGTGGATTTTTAAAGAATATTTTGTGGATTTTTAAAGGATATTTTTTCAAAGGACCACACAAAGATTTTAAAGCATATTTTTCAAAGGATCAAACATAAATTTTAAAAGCATATTTTTTCAAAGGACCAAAAGTGAATTTTTGGGGGATATTTTGGGGATTGTTTAAGAATATTTTTCCAGGGATGTATTATGTAAGTAAACCATAATTTTTCACTGACCAAAAGTAGATTTTTATAGGATCTAACGTTGATTTTTAAAGGAAGTTTTTTTTTTCAAGGAATAAAAGAGGATTTTTAAAGGACGTTTTTCCAAGGAATAAATTTGAATTTTTAAAATGAGATTTTTCAACGATCAATTTTGTATTATTAAAGGATATATTTGTTCAAAGACCAAACTAGAACTTTCAAAGGTTATTTTTTAAGGACAAAACGAAGATTCTGCGTAATTCTATTAAGGTGTAAATGTTGATGTTCGAATAATATTTTTTAAGGACAATACATGTCTATTTTTAAGGAAAAAAACAAATGTGAATTTTTAAGAAAATATTTTTAAGGACCAATCGTTAATTTCCTAGGAATAATTTTCAAGGATCAAATGTGGATTTTTAAGGACTAGATCTTCAAGGAACAACTATCGTTGCATAAGGAATATTCTCAAGGACTAAACATGGATTTTAAACGTATTTTTGTTTCAAGGACTAAGAGGCCACAAATGTTTTTTTTTTTTTTTTTTTTTTTTTTTTTTGGGTGGTAGGGGGAATACTTTTGCAGGGACTACATGTAGAAAATATTTCTTCAATATGGATTGAAGTGTAAATTTTTCAAGGACCAAATGTTGTTATATTTGTATTATATTTTTAAGGACAATACACATCTGTTCAAGGATCTAATATATATTTTTAGGAAATCATTTGCAAGGACCATGGATTGATTTTTGTGGAATAATTTTCAAGGACCATCTATTCAAGGATAGTGTTTCTTTTAAGAGGTATTTTTTAAGGACCGAACAAAGATATCCAAAGTTTTTTTTTCAAGTTTATAGAGGCAACCAATTGTGGATTTATGGGGAATATATTAGCAAAATCTAAACGTGGAGATGTAAGAAGGGGTTTTGAAGGACCGTAGATTAAATTGTAATCTTTATAAGGACAAAATGTTTATGTTTAAATAATATTTTTTACAAATCAAACCGAATGTGTATTTTTAAGAAAATATTTTCAAGGCCTAAGGTATATTTATATATACCGTCCAAGGACAGAAATTTGGTTCTTTTTAAATTTAATTTTTTCAGGGAGAAAATATCGTCTTGAAAATATATTTTTTTAAGGAACAAAAATAGATTTGCCGTTTTTAAGGACAAAGAGGGCACAAACCCTGGATTTTTGGAAAATGTATTTGCAAGGACTAGGGGTAGATTTTTAAGAAATATTTTCTCAAGGACTAAATGTAGACCATCTTAGTATTTTTTATTTTTTTATTTTATTTATTTATTTATTTCCTTTGTCATCATATTCTGATGTCCTTAACAGCTAGTGTTTTGAATCCCATTGTAAGCGTCCTTCTACCACTTACCATTGTTGTTGGCATTTGTAATGCTTCATTTGGTCTGATAAGTTATTTACCTAAGTCTCCATTTTCCCATTCTTTTTTAACACTTCTCTTTGCCATTTTTTTTTTTGCAGTTCCACCCGAGTCGATTATAATACTGGATCACAAAGGTACAACAATAAAGGATCATGTCCTGGGTCCATACAATGAAGGTGCCATAATAAATATAACTTGTGTTGCCATCGGGGGTAAGTTCTATTGTATTGTCTATTCTATGTATTTGTATTGTATTTTGTTGTTGGTATTGTTATTGTATGGAAAATGACAATATAATTTCCGGCGAATTCGGAGGGAGAGTGGGAGAAGGTGAGAAATAGGATAACAAAATAATGATATGGAATTCAAATGCTTGAATGGAATATAAGAATAAAAAATCTATGAGAATGTTATCGACAGTGGCCGGTCAGGGACTTGGGCAGCTATTTAAAATATCGGGGAATCCCTTAAAATAAAAAAATCCTTCTTGATATTTAAAGGATATTAATATCCTTCCAAAAATTTCAGCATGAATTGAAATCCATTTTTGCTTATTATACCCTCCACCATAGTATGGAGGGTATATTAAGTTTGCCATTTCGTTTGTAACACCTCGAAATATAAACTATAGACCCCACAAAGTATATATAAATATTCTTGATCAGCATACAATTCTATGTCGATTTAGCGATGTCCGTCCAACTATCCATCTGTCCGTCTGTGGAAATCACTCTAGCTTCCGAACAACTTGAAGTAGATTGATAAAATTTCGCTCAAATGTATTTTATGTCTGCAGGACTTTTTGTATTGAAAATGGGCCATGTAGGTCCACGTCTTCGTATAGCCCCCATATAACGGTACCTCCCGATATTCGGTATTTTGATGATTTTAGCGACATTATTTACCGGAATTGTTTCAAATTTGGTATTTAGAGCACGTAATGAATACTACAGCCTACGGCAGAAAATTGTCTGTGCAGGTCCACGTCTTCGTATAACCCCAATATAACCTTACCTCCCGATATTCGGTATTTTAATGATTTTAGCGACATTATTTACCGGAATTGTTTCAAATTTGGTATTTGAAGTTCGTAATGTATGCTACAGCCTAAGACAGAAAATTGTCTGTGCAGATCCACGTCTTCGTATAGCCCCCATATAACGGTACCTCCCGATATTCGGTATTTTGATGTTTTTGGCGACATTATTCACCGGAACTGTTTCTAATTTGGTATTTGAAGGTCGTAATGGATACCGCAGTCTATGCCAGTGCTGGTCCAAGTCTTCGAATAGCCCCTATATAACGGTACCCTCCGATGTTTGGTATTTTGATGATTTTAGAGACATTATCCACCGGAATTGTTTCAAATTTGGTACTTGAAGTTCGTAATGGATTGTACAGCCTATGACAGAAAATTGTCGGTGCAGGCCAACGTCTTCGTATAGTCCCCATATAACCGGACCTCCCGATATTCGGTATTTTGATGATTTTAGCGACATTATTTACCGGAATTGTTTCAAATTTGGTACTTGAAGTTCGAAATGGATACTACAGCCTGTGGCTGAAAATTGTCTGTGCGGGTCCACGTCTTCGTATAGCCCCCATATAACGGAACCTCCCTATATTCGGGTTTTTGATGTTTTTGGCGACATTGTTCACCGGAATTGTTTCAAATTTCGCATTTGAAGTTCGTAATGGATACTACAGCCTATGACAGAAAATTGTCTGTGCAGGCCAACTTCTTCGTATAGCCCCCATATAAGGGTACCTCCCTATATTCGGTATTTTGATGATTTTAGCGACATTATTTTCCGGAATTGTTTCAAATTTGGTATTTGGAGTTCGTAATGGATACTACAGCCTATGACAGAAAATTGTCTGTGCAGGTCCACGTCTTCGTATAACCCCAATATAACCTTACCTGCCGATATTCGGTATTTTGATGATTTTAGATACATTATTCACCGATTTTTTTCATTCAAGTTTCGCATTTGAGTATTGCAATGGTTTACGACAATAGTTGTCTATGCGGGACCACGTCATCGTATAGACCCCAATAAAGCGGCTACATTCGGCATTTTTAAGATTTTAAAAGATTTTTTAAAAAGAATTAATTTTTTTGAACTGATTTTATTTTTTTTTTTTTTTTTTTTTTTGAAAATTTTCAAATTTTTTCCAAATGGTGGAGGGTATTCAAAGATCGACCCGGACGAACTTACAGCTTTTTTTATTTGTTTTTCATTTATTTTCTCTGCGTTAAATTTTCTTGTGTTTTTTTAAGATTTTGCCACCGTTTTTCCCCCTTCCCCATACCAATCTCCCCTCATATCCCGAAACCTTAAATCCATCCGAATACAAATAAATCCTCAATACACTTTCTGTACACACACTCACACACATATCACTTTCACGATTTCAAGAGCAACAAAACAAAGTAAAATACTTGAAAAATCAAATCATAAACAAAAGCCAAACGAAGGAACTACCAACCAACCAACCAACCAACCGATATTCAGACAGGCAGACAGACAGACCGACATCCTTGACAGGGACAATCTTTGTGACAGCTACAAAGAGACAATCCACAAAAAAAAAAAA